TTCCACACACTCTCTCTCTCTCTCTCTCTTCTCTCTCTCTCTCTCTCTCTCTCTCTCAAGTATGAGTAACAACGAGGCGAGATATCATTCTATCATTGTTTCTATCATTGTTCGACACATACATTCTTAGACAGTGATAGCAGGGACGAATTCCTTATACGAAAATAGTGGCGAGAAATCGGTTGGAGACGAGGGAAGGAAGAATCCGTGAGAATAAATTGGAATATTTCTCGAATTGTTCTCTTTTCAGGTGGTTCTCTAGTCGTCTCGGGTTATTATCCTTCTTCCTTGGTACGTATATTTCAATCGAACGATTTTATTCCACATATCGGGGGGGTATACGCGCGGTGCCGTGGGACGTGTGCAACGACCTCTTCGACTTCTCCATGAACGCGTCCGATTTCCTTGGATATCTCGAGGATCGGCAATACTCGGGGGAAAGCTTGTCCTGCCCGTGCTCGGGAATGTCGTATATCGGCGACTTCGTGTCTCGGGATCTGCGTGATTTCATCGCGTACAGGGTTGGGATATCCATGGCGTTCGCGTCCTTCGTGGCATACTTGCAACGGCCGTATAATTGTTCGTGATTCTCGGCCTCGTCACCTGGCAAATCGATAATAACAAATTGCGAAATAGAATTTCGATCTCTAATAAGATCTCGAGCAAAATCGTCGTCGAATCGAATTTTTCCATTATTTCCAGCGCAAAGAAATGAATAATACGCAACTTTTGAGAAAGGATAGAAAATAAATAGGAATCTCACCGATTGATCCCTTGATAGGAATATTCGCAGAATCGTCGAATCTGCAAGTGCTCTTCACGGGCGGCTCGTTCTTCTTGCTCGACAGGTTACCGCACCGATTGCACCTTCTCGCTTTGCTCATCTCCGAGTCTATCAGACGATCCATATCCGGTTTGGTGCGGGCTCGTCGCATTATTGGCGTCACGTTCTCGTATCGATCTGGGTCGTTCCTCGGCACCCAGTAATAATCAGTGGGCTGCCGCTTCGAAGTCTTCATCGACGTTCGGACGAAATCTTCTTCTGATAAGGGCTCGGATATGTCGTGCTCGGCCACGTTGTGATAGTACCTGCTAAGAATCGCGAACAATCCCTTCGAATTATTGCTTTCAAAATTATCGTGAACACTGAACCACGCTTTCGATTTTCTTCTTTCTATTATGTTTCTTAGTCGAACGGAAATTATTACGAAAGACTTTGAGAGAAAAGGTAAATGTTCGAGAAATAATAGATTTTTAGAAAAGTAGAAAATTATTCGTGGAATCGTTGTTACCTGGGAGAAGAATTGTCTAACAAAGTAACACGTTGCTGGCCACGGATTCTTCGCGGGTCCGGCTGTTGCTCGGATCTCCATCGTTGTTTCAACATCGCCTCGGTCTTGTTCCCTCTTTGAGACCTATGAGCGTGGGGGGTCGGGTCGGACTCCTCTTCCACCTCGTCGTCCGCTTCGTGCTCCTCGTAATCCTTGTCCAAGAACTCGTGATCCTCTTCCGCTGCACAGAAAAACGTCTCAGATATTTGATCCTCTCTTAATTAATCTAAATTTTTGTAGAAATCGGGGAAAGTTTCGTGAACGAATTCAACCTGTTATCTCCTCTTCCACGTTCTCGTCCATATTTCCCTCCACGATGTTCCCCAATTCCTCGTCGATGAGTTTCAATTTCTCGATGTCGCCTAGCTCGTCGTCGTAGTGGATCTTTCTCTTGGGCGACAAGCTCGATGGATGGTGCACGTCTCGGTGTGATTTGGACCGAGCCTGCATGTACACAGCGTCCGAACCGTGATGCGAGGTATACTTCGAGTACATCGGGCCGGAACACATATGGCTCTTTTGCGGCTTGTAAGAACTCGAGGAATAATAGTTCGTCGGTGATTCCGGGCTCCTTAAGATACATTTCGATGAGAAACTCGAGAAGATTATCTTTATCATCAGGATTATTTAACGTTACTTCTCCTTTTTTTTGTAAGAATATTTTTCTTTTCTCTTTTTTTTATTTTCAATAAAATATTTCTGGTTTATTACTTTTTTTATATATACATATACGTAATGATCGTGTATTTCAACGCTTTCAGAAATTGAAATTCTTTCTTAAAAAAAAAAAAAAAGGAAGAAAGAAAGAAAAAGATTTTAGGAGGAAATAAATACTTACCTGCTTCTGCTTAGCGGAAAAGACTGGCTTCTCCTCTGGGGATGCCTCCAACACGTGTCAGGTGTGTCAAAGTACATGTGTTGAATGTACTTCGACCTAAGATTTTCTGCTTGTTTCATCGTTTAAATTTCGTCGTTCGTCCACAGTGTCCACGAATCGTCGAACAATCGTCTCTTCACTTTCACACACTTATCGGACGACAATTTACATAATTTCGTTAAAAAGGAATTTTATCTCTTATCCCCTCACCGCGTAACAGCATCGAATACAAGGATCGAAACGATAAGAGGATGAAAATCGTTCGTTCGTTCGAGAAGTCCGTTCGTTTCAAACAAAAATCTAAAAAAAATTCATCCAAGATCTCGATCGATCGTCTCTACGAATCGTCTCTCGTCTGAATTAATCGTCAACTGGATCTCACATTTCCTCGTCAAAGATATCCTCGATCGGCATCTACGACTCCTACGTTTCCCCGATCCTCATCTTCGCGCGTATCCCGCGCGAGAATCGGGCCGAAATCCAAGTCGGGGAAAATCTTCGTTTCGCCTCGAAGAGTGGAATCGCTTTCTCCCCTCTTTTTTTTTCCCTTCGAAGTTGCAAAGGGTCGAGAAACGGATGAGGAAGAAGAGGAAGAAAACGCGGGGGGAGGAGAGAGATCGTTTCGAGGAAAGGAAAGATCGTCACAGCGCGCTCGAGCCGAGCGTGTATCGTCCTTGGCCCAAGGTCAAGCCCTCCTCCTCGAACGCGAGCAGTCGAACATCTCTGGGATCGGAGAACGGATGAGGCGGGGGTGAGGCGAGGGGCGGGCGAAGTCGCGCTTCACGATCGAGGGAAGCGGACTCTTTTCACCATTTGTCGGCCTCGTTGCTGTCCTCGTGCTCCAGGGACGAGTTGAGCGTACGCTGGAACTCGTGCACCCTCTGGCTCTGCTGCTCGTGATGGTGCTTCCGCCACTTGATCCGCCGATTCTGGAACCAGACCTTCACCTGAGCCTCGGTCAGCCTTAGTGCGTGCGCCAGGTAAAGCCTCTCTGGCCCGACCATGTACTGTTGCCGCGCGAATTCTCCCTCCAACCGTTCCAATTGCTCGGCCGTGAAGATCGTACGCACCCTCTTCAACTTGCCGCCGCCGCCGGAACACGAGCTCGAGCCACCGTTCTTCGCGCCACCTTCCTGACCTGCGATTCCATATTTTTTTTTTTTTTTAATTCCACCATTTTCTCTCCCTAATTTTTTCTTTTTTTTTTTTCAAAGGGAAAAGGATGAAGGATTTCGAAGGAAGGAAATCGATAGATTTGAAAGCAGAGTGGATAAATAAACGTTGCGAATTTTCTTTTTTTTTTTTTGTTATTTCACGAAGATGTAGGATTTGTTTGTTCGATTTGCTCGTTTGTTATGAAGAATTTGTATAATAATTTTGTTAATATTAGTTTAATAAAAAAAGGGGCAAAGGTGGCTTTCGATGCGACTCGTATAATGTATTCGTAAAAATGAGAAAAGATGAAAATTTGATCTGAAGGAGAAATATTTGGAAAGGGTATTACGATTAACGAATTAATAATTGTGCAGATTTAGGATTGATAAAAATTTGTACTTGTTCAGAAATTTTGATAATACTCTTTCTGGAAACAACATATTCGTTTTGTATATTTTATCACAGAGAAATTGAAAACGTAGATTTAAGGGTAGGTTATGGAAACGTGAAAAACAAGGTGTCTCATCTCTCATACCTCGAAATTACGATAATAAAGTTAATTGAAAAGGTTTCAATAAACTACTATTCGGTCACGAAATTATCGATGTTTAATTATTCCTCAGTTACTGCTGAGGTTAACGAGAATTTTGTTAATTATGAATGTATACAACTGACAGAACGATTTTATCACGATTTTAGCTTCATTTGTTTCCAAAGGAAATACATCTGAAGTTTGATAGATCCTCCGTATAAATGAAAATGATTCGATTCTTCCCTTTCATTTTGATCGTTTCACTCCGATTCTCGATCCAATCAAAAATTAAACGATCGTGACACAATCGCGTCCACGCAAAAGAAAAAAAAAAAAGAAAAATCTAAAAAATCCTAATCCAAAACTTAAGACTCAGAAATTCAAATTCAACCCATTATTCCATTAACCTATCCCTGAATCTGAATCAGCGAGGAACAAAATCCACGTACCCTGATGCTTCCTGTACTGCTGTTGCTGATTCCGTTTCTCCCTAGGATTATTCCTTAACCGAGAATCGCGTCGATGGTGAACGATTTGGCCTGTTGTTGCTGTTGCTGCTGCGAGTGTTGCATCTGGGTGATGGGATGGGGATGCGGTATCTGGGTGGACAAGTTCTGGGCGGAGAGATCGGCGCCCAACAGATGCGATCGTCTCATCCGTTCGAGCGCGATCGCCTCGAGATCTTGGCTCCTCGATTGCATCTGCATGCTCTTCAACTCGCTGTGCTCCATCATCGGCGGGCTCTCCAGCAATCCACCGCCCCCTCGAAGTCTCTCCAACGCGAAATGACTGTCCCTCATCCTGTCCAACGACAGATTGAACTCCTTCATCCGATCGATGCCGTAGTTCTTCAGCAGGCCGAAATCCTTGATGTCCTTCTCGGACACGGCGAAATTCAAATCCTTGCCGTACCTGTCCGAGAGGGACAAGGTGGCGTGGTGCCCGCTCTTGTGCCTGCCCTCTCGAAGATTGAACAGGAGATCTTTGGCCGTCGGGTTCTTGGCCCTGCACAGGTTACCCGCGGCCTCCAACGACTCGTCGTTCTCGCTCGTCGATCTGTCCAAAGTGTACGCCATTTCGTTCAGACCGCCCCCCACGTAGCCGAAATCCTTGCCCTTGTTCAACGTCATCGGATGATTCCTTCCCGCGTTTTCGAATTCGTCGAAACGGACCGAGGCCCTGCCCGTCTCCAGCCCCAGGTGAAACTCCTTGCCCTCGATTTGGCAATCTTCCTTCGACTTGTCCACCGACAAATTCAACTCCTTGATCCTCTCGTAATCTTGGAACGCCCGCAACTGACTCTCCGAGTGGCTGCTCTCGCTCCGGCAGTCGGACAGATCCTCGACGGCCAACCTGCCCGACGGATCGTTCGTCTCCATAATCTCGTGATACCAAAACCAGAACTCACTCTCCGAGATTTATATATCACACCTAGAGCAATCTATCCAGTTCTCGCAATCCGTCCGTTCCAAAGAAGAAACCGAATTCCCCTCCTCGAGAATTCACTCGCGCGGTGATCGTCGCCGAGAAATACCCCACGAAATATCACCACGAGACACAGCGAGGCTGGAGCACAGCGCCGACCCGTTGCCGGCGGATCCGTTGTCGCGCGACATCGCCCCGCGGAAAACAAAGGCGAGGTTATATCATATCTGGCCGGTGTCGGCCGACGCCGATCGACGAACGGGGGGGAAACGCACGAGGGAGCGAACTGGAACGAGGATGACGACGACGACGAGGGGGCCAACCCCGAAGGATGGCCGAGCCGCGCTGGCGCTGCACGTCGTCCCACCAGGATAATGATGTCAGCCACGAGGATCACTGCTATCCGGAGAGGGTTGGCGAGCAGGACTAAGGATACATCCGGCTAATGATCCCGTGTACGTGACGAGGGGGAGGGGGAGGGGGTGTTCACCTTCCCGCCCGCCACTCTTCGCCGGCGATCAGCAGTCCGAAACGTTGTGTTTCACCTCCGCAACCCCCAAATGGACCGCAGAATACCCCCCCCCCCCCTCGCCACTCGGTCAATATTTTTTCGCCCTCCGCTCAAGGTGGCCAACGAAGGGGGTGAGGGGAGGGTTGCGCGAGGGTTGAGCGTCGATTGGCCGAGAGTGTGCCATCACCACGAGGCTTGGGCCACGCCCCGCGCGAGCATCGTGGGGGGTTATTTGCCGAGAGTCTGTTACTTCTTTTTTTTTCCACCCACCCTTCCTCCCCTGCGTCTCGCGCGGGACGAAACGGAAACAACAACCAGCCTCTCAAGGCCTCGTTACTCTCTCCCCGTCCCTCCTTCTCTAGGCCTCTTCCTCGAGAAACCCCTATTAATAAGCTTTCATCCCCTCGCGCACCAGCGATCATCCGTCTCATCCTTACTTGTCACGCGGATGTAGTGGAAGTGGAGAAGGTGGAAGAGGGAGAGGGTGCCTCGCATCTTCTCCTCCGGCGCCCGATTGTCTGTGCTCGTTGACGATGTCATCCGTGTCTAAGACATTCCCGGTAATTAGGTGGCCGGGTTCTAATGATGATGAGGTCGTTTAATTTTGTCCCGTTCGTGATCTTTCTTGCCTCTTGGATTGAGATAGTAGCTCGAGGATTCACTCGGCTCGGGATGATTTTATTCTCGTCCATGTCTTTGTTTTCTTGCCGGGACAGATTTTGATTAGTTTTTTTTTTTTTTTCTTTCGAACTTCTTCGAGAATTATAATAAAATAACTGTGTACAATATTTGTGTATAATAATAATGATATTAGGGATGAAGGGGGAAAAAATGTAATTTAATGTAATATATATTCGTTCTCAACAAGATAGTATTCGAGATAGCTGGAAATGTCGTATTTTATTATTTCATAATAATTGAATATTACTAGATAGTATTGTGCGCAGGTTTCTTCGAGAGCTAGAGGAAACACAGTTTGCCTAATTGCCCCTTTCTAGCCTGAAACTTCATCCGCAATCCCCTCATTAGACGTTGACGGGTATGCGGGAATTTCACTGCCTCAGAAAACCTCTAAGGAGCTTAAGTTCAAGGGCAAGAGCTTAATTACAGGCCAGGTTTTATGTCGTCTTGAGTTTTCTCTCCTCCGTCATTATTTTATTACCACGTTTTTATCTAGTCACTCGATTCATCGGTTGTTACATCGGATGTTAATAGACAGACTTAATGATGAAAAGTAATTCGTTCGCGTTAACGAATTATCCGACGATTATAACAAAAATTGTAATAATAACGGATCGTGATTTCTAATAAAATTTTTTTGACTAACTGCGAATTTCATTGTGATATCATATAAAATATATTACAAAAAATATCATTTGATATTGGATGATTATTTTTCAAGTTATACTTGTTTTATATATATATATATGCAATAATAAAGTTTTAATGGACAAAGTGTTTAGACCGTGTGAAAGTTATACGAAGCCATTATGAAGTTGAGATTGAGCTATAAATCCAAAATTTACTTCGCCGTGTCTTGCGTGTTTTAGAAATCGAACAATAGATCCGCGTAATTGCATCATATATTTCATACACGACGCTAAGTTTGCATTCAGCCATTCGAGTAAGCTTGAAGATCCTCATAGAATCAAATATTAATTGCATATTTTTAATAACCAAAAGATCATCCTCCATTACCTGTTTACATTTTATAAAACTTAATTCTCCTTCTTTTCTTCATTCATTACTCGCCATCGAACTTATATTACAAATCTTCGAAACCTTTGGAATAAAAAATAAGAATGGCAAATCTTGTGTGAATTAAATAAGAAAACAAAATTATTTCATAGATAATGGACAAAATATCCATTCAATATTGCGTCG